AACACCAAATCAAGGGTTCAAATCCTTACCTGTCATCTTTTAAATAAAATAAAATAAAATAAAATAAAATAAAATAAAATAAAATAAAATCAGACTAGGAGAAAACTCTAACGTAAATTTACTTAGTATTATGTTCTTTTTCAGTCTCTTAGATTTTAAACTCCCTGAAACAGGTGGTTTCATCCTGTTTCTTCAGAATCTCTCTTCACAGGCTAAAGAAAGGTAGGGGGTTGAAGACGGGGTGGAGTACACAAGGAAGAAAGGCCAGCATGCGAAGGGCTTGAAGAAGGCTCTGGGAGCTTGTTCTACTCAAGGATAGTGAGGAGGCAGCACCTCTTCGTAGTGAAGAATGTTGGTTCTGGAGTTAGTCTGCCTGAGTTCAGATTCCAGCCCCACCACTCGTTAGTCTTGTGACCATGGAGAAATTACTTAACCTCTCTCCCTCAGCCTCCTCATCTGCAAAACAAGGATGACAGTAGTACGTGCGTGCCTCTTTGTTGTTTACAAAGACTAGATAACTTGTAGAACAGGGCCTAGCACATAGTAAGCATGGAATAAATGTTAGCTATTGTTTTTGTTTAACAATTCTTTCATTCCAGATACCCATTGACAATATGACCAATGAGATGGAGCAGAAGGTTGAGCCTCATAATGATTACTTCAGTACTCAATTTCTGTTGAACTTTGCTCTCCTTGGAACACACAACATTACAGTGGAATCTTCAGTGAAAGATGCCAATGGTATCGTATGGAAGACTGGTCCCAGAACTACCATATTTGTAAAATCCCTGGAAGACCCTTATTCCCAGCAAATTCGCCTGCAACAGCAGCAGGCCCAGCAACCATTACAGCAGCAGCAGCAGCGAAATGCCTACACACGCTTCTAACCACGTGAGGGATGCGCTGCAGACTTTGAAGGGATTGATCCAGTTGGTACAAATAGTTTGCTTTTTCATATGGATTAAGTATGAAAATTAGAATGTGGAATCTGTTTATTCATTGATTAATGTAATATTCTGGAAAATGGGCTTTTTTTTCCTTAAAAATTTAGTTTGAAAAATTATTGGGTTCCTAGCCAAAAGAAATTTTTTTCTTGTTTGTTCTTAAACCAAGTTCCTTATCTCATATTTAACATTTTCATTGTTTTGTTATTATTGTGTTTTCTGTTGCTGAGCTTTTTCTTTTAAGAGTAGCCACATATTGAGATCATTGAATTAGTAAATTCGACTGCTTCTCTTATAGAATACATCATTTGCTGCCTGACAGAGACTTGGAATTCTGAGGTAGGCATTGGGAAGTTTTGACCAGTCGGTGCAAAGTTTATCCACAGTAGTAGAAACTGAGTCCTTCCATAGATGGAATTGAAAGTGTCCCCTGCAGTGTCTGGCCTTCCAGATTATGAGAGTCTGTAGTCTAGCAGGTTTGAAACATCCTGCTCTATTATTTCAGCCACTTATCTATCTCTTCCTGTGGTAAAACAATCTTAATTTATTGTTTTAGTATTTAATTGACCCAAAGAGCAGCTAGCAATTGCATAGACAAATTGGAGATTAATAAGTTGTTTTTCTCCTAATATGTGGATTTTTTTATGTTCTTTCTTTTTTTTTCTTTTTTTAAAGATGACTGGTAAGGGGATCTTAACCCTTGACTTGGTGTTGTCAGCACCATGCTCTCTGAAGTGAGCTAACTGGCCATCCCTATATACGGATCCGAACCCATGGCCTTGGTGTTATCAGCACCACACTCTCCCAAGTGAGCCACAGGCTTGCCCTTTTTTTAGGTTATTTCTAAAAGTGCAAAGATCACTCACATTTAATATCTTACTATTTTTAATTAGAGGGGGGAGATCTTTTCCTTTGGTTTGGTTTCGTTTCTAATTGACAGGTTATGTAATGCTAGCCTTGATTGTCTAAAATGAGCAGTCTCTTTATAACACAACCTCAATTAGTTGGGATGCTCAGGGAGTAGAGTTTTCTGGTTAGCCAGAAAACCTCTTTTTTTCTATTTCAATACTGGTTGAGAATCATTATAAAATATAATAATGTACTTTCTTGTCTTAATATAGTGTACTGGATATGGCTTAACTGTTTCTTGATTTGGGATCATTTAGTGCTTCAGGATAATTATTTCTAAACATTGCGGATTATTGGATTGCAGATATTGATGATATAGGCAATTAGGCTGGATACAGCTCCTGAGATGAAGCAGGGCACCTTACCTGGATTTTTCCTTTTTAAATAAATCTTTTAAAATTCTTTAATTGTATTTTGCCTTTTTCTCTTCAGAGTCAACATTGATTTAAAGAAGGGATGGAGTTTAAGTTTTTAAAAAAATGAGGGGTTTTTTTTCTTGTCATGTGGCCTCTGGGAGTGAAGCAATTGGCAACTCAGGTCGCTGCAAGATTGCTTGGTTGCATGTGCTATTGCCCCAGCACGACCATATTGGCTGTTCTTTCTACCACCAATAGCCACAACATTGTTGTAAAACATACAAATCTACAGTGTCCACTGTGAATGGCATCCCTTTAAATGCAGCCCAGTTGTACACGGTATATAATCTGCACAGTCGTGTCAGCATCTGGGAAGATATGCCTTAGGAAAAATTGCCAGAGCAGTGTGGAGGACATGTGCAGAACATCTTGTCCTTTTACCCTGTGTGGAAAGAGCTGAATCAGCCTAGGTTCCACTTTGAATTAGCTCTGCAACCTGGTGCACATCACTTTCTCTCTCTAGACATTAGTTTTTTTGTCTATAAAATGCCTGAATTAAACTAGATTTCTTGACTCCATTCTCGAGTTTTATTATCAATTTACTAAAAGACTATAAAGCCAAAAAAGAAAGTTTCTTAAATTGAGAAAAATCTTTTTAATATTTTATTTATTTATTTTTTAATTTTACTTCTCAAAATACATTGTAGTTGAGTTTTCATGCCCCTTTACCCCTTTTTAATATTTTAATTAAGTGGCTTTTTTTCAGGATGAAATTTTATAATATGAATTTCAGGTTTCGGGTCCTATTTCAAGGTTGAATTCTCCAAAATCTTGTAAACCACCAATTCCCTCTGAGACCTTCGCAAGTTTTATGTTCTTAAAATATAGGCTTTTGATAGTTGTAATTATGAACTCTTTGACATGGTGTACTACAGAGCTCCTGGCACAAACTTGGAAAGGAATTATACAATAAAAACAAATCTAAATAGTAATATAGTGTAAAAATATAATTACATTCTTAAAAATTTTTTTTTAATTAAAAAATGTAATGTAAAAATAACTCCATGAAGCATAAAGGACTATTTTATTTCAGTATGTTCATTACATCCAGGATTAAAATTCTGTCTGATTTTATGTTTGGTATATTATCTACTGCATTTTTGGCATCAACTGTTAAACTCTTATTTGGTGTAAGGGGAAACTGCACATAATTTCAACACTGCACTAATGAATGAAAAGAAAAATACTCAAGGAAAGATGTAGAAAAGAAAAATGTGCATACTAATTGTGAAGTGAGCGTGTTCTTTGAATTTAGAAGTATGGATAATAAAAACAGATGGAATCTAGGAAAACAGGACTAATTTTTTTCAGTGCTTAATAGCCTGGTGGCTGAGAGCACAGCCTTTGGAGACACTAAGCAGGTTCAAATCTTAGCTCCACCTAACTTTGTGACCTTTGACTAGCTGCTTAATCTCTCTATGATTCAATTTTCTCTTTTCTATAATACAAATGAGGGGTAGATATGAGGACTAAGCGAGTTAATATAGAATTAATATGTGTAAAGCACTTAAAACATGCCTGGCACATAGTAAGCAGATATGTAAGTGTTTGCTGCTCTTCTTATTACTATCATTATTTTTTTTTTTCCCCCAGAAGATGACCAGTAAGGGGATCTTAACCCTTGACATGGTGTTGTCAGCACCACGCTCTCCCAAGTGAGCAACGGGCCAGCCCCTAGTATCATTATTATTATTATCTTCCCTAGTATTATTTTTCAGTGTTAGATAAGTTCTTAGTCTTATCATTTTATTTCTTCAAAATAAAAATTTACTTTTTCTCAGCTACTAAACACATATTTAAGTTATCTTTTCTCATTCAATTTGGGTACACTGAGTAATAAAATAACAAAATGGAATTTCTATTTACTATAGTTTTATAGATATTTAATTCAAGTATTTAAAGACAAATGTACAAAGTAAATTATGTCAAATACTTTCTGCTGATTGCCTTTAGTAGTGATAGCAATAGGATACTGACTCTCTAGAAATTAAAGTACTCTTGTATTCCAGCTTAAACTAAGATCTTCTGACATGACCTTTCTAGCTCAAACCAACCAAGGTAATTTGCAACTGAAGGCTGTAAGTCAGTTTTCACATTAAGATATGGTTTAGAGAAGAACAAACAAACCAACAAGATCCTTAGACTAGGGTCCCAGAGATGTCAGTTTAAATTCTACTAAGACTCACTTGTTGTAGATCATTATAGAGGTCACTTGATATTTGCACACCAATATCTGCCAGCAGAATATTGAGAATAAGATGACCCACCACTTGGTTGGAATATATGCAGCACTGGCTGATGGAACTTTCTGTGATGATGACAATGCTCTAAACCTGCACTATCCAGTACAGCCACTGGCCACACATGTAGCTATTGAGTACTTAAAATATGGCTAGTGTAACTGGGAATCTGAATCTTTTATTTACTTTTATAATTCAGTTAAATTAAAATAGCCTTACGTAGCTACTGCCTGTAGATAGAATTAGTGCAGGGAGTGAGAACTGGAGAAACAGGGATTCACTGTTAGTTACCTTAAGACCTAGATAACCCTTAAGTAGGCTTCCAGATGAGGGAGTCTGTGTTGGAATTCTTCGATGCACTAACGGTTCCACACTGAAGGGTATATAGATGACAAGGGGGGTGTTATCGTTTGTTTGTCTGCTTTGCTTTTGGTAGTACAATACTATGTTGCTCAGCCAGACCCTATTCTTTTTGCAGTGCTGTCTTGGAGTTAGCCTTTATCAGTCACACAAACAGTAGAAGTACAGTGGGGTACAGTGAGAAGTCCAAAAGTCTGGTGTCCTACCGACCACACTCCAACAGGAGGTTATGGTTTTCCTTTCCATTTCTTGCCCAAGAACACAAGACCTTTAACACCACAGGCTGTGTATTTTATTGACTCTGCTAGAGCCAGTTCATTATCCTGCGGTGTCTCCCCCAACAGGAGGTTATGGTTTTCCTTTCCATTTCTTGCCCAAGAACACAAGACCTTTAACACCAGAGGCTGTGTATTTTATTGACTCTGCTAGAGCCAGTTCATTATCCTGCGGTGTCTCCCCGTCTAAAGTACTGTGAGCAATGTGATTTTGAATTGTAATTTAAACAGTGAAAGTCATGATTTTCTCCTTCTTTACAATACCAAGACCTGGAGCCATTGGTTTCCACATTCTAATGAAAAATGCTAAATGTAAATTTGCTTTTTTCAAATCTACTACAGTTACAAAACACTTTTCAGTCTGTATCTTTTCCTTTATCCTTCCGTTTAGTTTCTGATCTCTCCCAGAGTAATTCTCTCCTGCCCAGCAAGTTTGCTATGCATGAAGTAATTGTCCTCTTTTGTTTATTATTCAAGTTTGATTAAACATTGAGACTTGGCGAACTAAATTTGGAGAATGTCTTCCTCACAGATCATGTCTACAGGTCAAGCCTTAGTACAGCGTTACTTAGCTGGCAAACTAAGACTAAAAATATTTTTTATTATTGTTTACACATAATTTTTTTTAGTAAAATTTTAAAGGTGAGGTAATGCCAGTGATTTAGAGCAATCAGGAAAATGAGCATCTCAAACACCCACAAAAGTCAGGATGTTTCAAAGAAAATCAGGTAGTATGTAGAGAAGAAATAGTCTCCCACTCAACTTTGCTTTTCTTGGAGATTTCATTTATGGGTTTTGATGAAACTTATTTGTGGCCGTAAGTTGAAATGTTTAATATAAAGGATTAGGACAAATAAAACAGCTAAATTAGACTAAGGAGTTATGAGAAGATCCCAGTGTCTAGTTGTTTCCCAAGACCATGGAAGGTGAAAACTGGCTGTGCTGCCTCAAATTTCCCTTCACCCCCTTGAAGCAGCAGAGCTAATGATGCTTTTGTCCACGTGTCATCTCACCCAGACGGCGAGATGAGCAAAGCGGCTGAGTCAACACTTGTGCCCCACCCTGCTTTCCCACCCCACATCCCCCACCACCAAAAGCTGACATCCTGAGATAAGGGGGGTTCAGGAGAAGTAGATGAGAGGACTACCATGGATATGTGGGTGGCGAAGGGACTCTCCTGGTGGCCAGGCCTCAGCTGGGGGTGGGAGATTTGAAAGGAAGCTGGGAGGGAGAGCCCTCAAACAACTTGTAGTCTCACTTGACAGAAAAAGAAAAACAATTTTTAGAGACTGTGGAGAGGGCTTTATAAAAGCACTTGACAAAACACAAGTAGTGCCATTTCTGAAATTCTTACAAGTATCCCCTCATATGTAGCAGTCGGGAGAGGATCTTAGGTAACGGGAAAACTGGCCATCATTTGGCATTTTCTCCTTTTGCAGCACTTGGAATGCACATGTCCGTTCCTTCTCAGTCTCTTCTTGACATAATTAGA